TCCGCTGCGCCCGGCCCGGCCGGATGTCGGAGAGCTTCGGAAGGGAGAGAGGGCTGTGAGGCTGCCGGGCGACCTCAGGGTTTCAATCCCGCCCCGGGAGCTGACTGAGTGCCCGCTGGCCCTCTGAGCCCCCCGCCTCAGCCGGGGCTGCGGAAAGCTCAGGCGCCCGGTCCTGGTCCGCTGCCGGGAGTGACTCTGGCAAACTGTGCTGAGTCGTTGCTGCATGGAAACGGTGCTCGACTGAGGTCTGCAAAGTGTCTTGTGAATTAAAAAACTCCAGTATGTTTTGTATCATTTACATTGGTTTTGCGATTTTTATTTTTTTTTCCATAGCGAATGTGAACTTGGAAGTGCTTTTGTTTGGTTTGCAGACTTACTTTATGTGTGTTCTTTCACCAACTGCTGTATCTTTCATTCTATTCAAGGCAGCGTCCCTTCTCTCGCAGCTGGTCTTCTCTTTGGTGGCTTAGCAGGACTAGGTGCCTACCAGCAGTCTAAAGATCCGAAGAATGTGTGGCTCTCCCTCGGTAAGTTTGGTCAGCACCCACAGACTGAGTATTACTGGTAGCAGTGGGAATAGTAAGCTTTTTTTCTAGCATGTTTCAGCTGATTGGTGGCCTTTTATTTGTACAAATCTCAGGGCCTTCTGCCCACAGCCAGGACGTATTTGTGTACCTGGTTCTAAAACCTAAGTTGTCCTTCTGAAAGCCAGAGTTGGTGAGAAATAACCTGTCTTCTCTGCTGAACAAGATACTGTGTTAAAATAATATAGGCATAGCAAAGGTACATCAGAAATGTTTGGTTGTGAAGCAGTGTTTTTAGTCTATGGTCATGGAATAGGCATTTTAGCAGTAGTGGAAGCACTGTGACAAGCAGTGTGTGGCTTTGTGGAGTATTGGTTTGCACAAGCCTCTCGGAAGAAGAGCAGTATGTGTTTTAATGCATAATATGCTGTGGAAGAAGCAGTCTGAAGGATATAAAAGAAAGGAAGGAGTGAGCTATTTTCTTACTGTACGTGGGACAGGAAGTTGTGGGCTTAGCTTGCAGTTAACCCTTTGAGTGAAGAAGGATAAAATTATAGCAGAAAGTATGAAGCACTAATAGATCAGGTGAACCTCAGAGATTTCCATCACTGCAGGACTTTATGTCAAGAAGTGACCTTGCCTTTGGGCACTAGTTGAGCCTAGATGACCTCTTGAGGTTCCTTCTGGTTCCGTAACTACCACAGTATTATTAGTGTTATGATACTATAGCATTACAGTGATTTAAGACTACTTAAAACCAATGGGACTTGATCACGTAATCTATCTTTTGCCTTTTCTGATGCAGACAAACTTGAAGCTTTGGAGAAAGGTATACACCACCTCCACCTGCCTTTCTTCTTTGAAGAAACAACAGCCATGTTATTTTTATGTGAATATCAATGGGATTTTTTTCCAGATTTCGAGATTAAAGAATTTTGAGTAATATTTAACATGTTAGTTGCTCTTTCAGATTGATCCCTCACATTGCTTTCTGTTTGCTAATGCATATTTTCAAGTGGGGTTTTTTTATTTCTAGTTACAGTATTAAATTAGTGCCACCTTTCAATTCAGAATGTCACAGAGAAACTGGACCTGTAATAATATTTGCCTTCCACATAGTGAACTTTGTCACTATCCCACCTTTCTGGCAGTTTTGAGCCTATCTGTATTCAAGGAAATAATCATTCTTCTGCAAATACGGAGAAACTGAGGGAGAGTTAGTGATCTGCCTAGAAGATGGGAGGTGGTGGATGATTAGACAGTGGTCTCAACTCTGAGATCTACTCTCTTCTACTGAGCAACCAGGCTGCTGAGAAGCTTGCAACAGCTCTACTGCTTAAATGTAAAATGTTTGAGTTCGCTTCCCTGTGGAGAGGAGGGAGGCATTCCTGAGGAGGGAGGCATGCCTGTGTGTAGACGTGGGCCTGTGTGATTGGCACTGCTGAATGTCCAAGCGTGGTGGTGCTGTGCTGGGGTTTCTATTTCAAATAGATCTGACTGGGCTTCTTTTCAACAGTGGCATCTGGAACCTTGTCTGCTGTTATGGGAATGAGGTTTTACAACTCCAAAAAAGCAATGCCTGGGATAATTGCTGGTGCCAGGTAAGTTACCTGTGTTTTGTTCTTGTCTAGATTTTTGATTATTATTTAACTTATTTGTGGATTATATTGTTTTAAAAACATCACGTGCTAAGTTCTGTGAAAAATGAAATCTTATGGTGAAGTTCCGCTGAATGAGATCATGTCCATTTTTTCTTCCTTCATGTTCTTTATGGGATTTTTGCCTCACTCCACC